TTAGGGTTTAGGGTTAGAAGTATGGGCCCGTAAGATGGACCCTTAGGCCTTTCTAGGGACCCTTAAGGGTACATATAGGGTATATAGTAGTGAAGTATGAGCCCCTAACATGGACCCTTAGGCCTTTCTAGGGACCCTTAAAAGGGTACAGAGAGGGTATATTGTAGGTGGATCCTAGGGTTAAGGGCCCATCCTAGGGGCCCATGGTTTCAAAGCCGGAGTCTAGGGTCTACGGTTTAAACCCCAAACCCCTAAACCCTAAACCCTAAACCCTAAACCCTAAACCCTAAACCCTAAACCCCTACGGTTTAGGATCGCAGTGCTTGCGAGTTTGGGGCTTCAGGGTTTGCAGTTTTCTGACCTCAGGGCACTGCGTGTCAGGTTGTTTTGCATAGCCTTGGGAATCATTCGAGGAATAGGGCTCCTAAGAGCAGGTTTTGGGTTTAGGGTTTAGGGTTTAGGGGTTTAGGGTTTAGGGTTTCGGGTTTAGGGGTTTAGGGTTTAGGGTTTAGGTTTACACTATCTGGAGGGTGTAGGGTTCATGCAGCTTCCCAGTCGCGACGTGCTTTTGTGTTTAGATTTGCCGGGAAGCGCGAACCAACTCGAGGAACCAATACCATGAAGGCTTCGATACCCTAAACCCTAAACCCTAAACCCTAAACCCTAAACCCCAAACCCTAAACCCTAAATAACTGCTCGCATTGTTCAATCCTGTTCTGAGTCCTGTCGGGCACGAGTTTCGCGCGTGCGTGTAACATAGAAGCCTAAATAACTACCAGTATTATTACTGTTAGGGTTCCTGACTATATATAGATACCATAAAGGAGCCCAAAACCCTGTTCTAGTTATTAAGGCTAAACGGAACCCCACTCTAATTGTTAAGGCCCTACCCTACATCCTTATTATAGAAACAATCATTGTAATCCTTGAAAAGACCCCGAAAAGGAGCCGCATTCTAATTATTAAGGTTCCTACCCTAATCCTTATTTTTCAAAACCTCCTAGCAACACTGTAAAAGACTCTAAAAGGAACCCTATTCTAATTATTAAGGCCCTATAGTAGGGTTGCAAGAGCCTTGCAACTTTACCATGGCTTGTGGATCCTTCCTTGGCTTTGCCGTCCCTGCATGCCAGGCCCGTTCCAGACTCTTTGCGCGCCCTGCGCGGGAACTAGCGTCGAAAAGGGGCACGCCAAACCCTCAACCCTAAACCCTGAACCTTAAACTAACCCTAAACCGTAAACCTGCTACGAATCACAAGCCCTGCACCCCCAGACCTGAGCAAACACTGAGCTTACGCCAGAACTGAACCCCGAAAGCCGTGCAGCCCAAAACCCTGAAAGCCAAAGGCCTCAACCTCTTGTAAACTTCTTCTAGATTTTCTCTAGAAACCCTTAGTGGTTTTTTGGGCCTTAGGCTTTAGGAACCACGACAGGATGCGCAGAAAACTTTGCAGAAAGCCCCCCATACATCATGCAACACCGTGAACCTGAGACTCACCCAATGCCACGCCGAGGTGGTTCAATCCTAAACCCTAAACACCGAGGTGGTTCCTGAAGGTTTCCAGAAAAGGCGGAACCCAGCAAAGCCTGGAGAACTTGGGACTTTTAATGTCCCGACATTCCCAAAGACTATGAGACAATCTTACTTAAGCAAAATACACTAAAGAATTCGAAGCATCCTTATATAGTTGTAAGTTGAAGAAAAAATAATGGTTCCTTCAGTCTTCAACGGCGCAACCTCGCCACCTCGCGTCTTTACGCCACGCACTTTCACCCCGGAATCCACCCAACATGTAATCGTGTAGGGGCCCCAATGCTTCGAGGGGTGCTCTAGGCTATGTGTAGTAGAGTTACTTTTAGATCGCCAAAGAGAGAACTTTAAACTTTTTGAGCCTATATATTAGTCTTTCTTTTGAAGTTTGAACTTGTTGAGCCTGGTTATTGAAGAATAGAGGTCATATAGGGACTATCAAGTCGCACTACTACAGCTGGTCTCAGGCCTCAAGGTTAGCAGCAAGCTGCGGCCTTCGAGGAGTTTCGTGTTCGGATGTTTAGGGTTTAGAGGTTTAGGGATTTAGGGGTTCAGGGTTAAGGGTTTAGGGTTTAGGGGTTAGGGGTTTAGGGTTTAGGGTTTAGGGTTTAGGGGTTTAGGGTTTAGGGTTTCCTAAACCCTAGTCTGCAACGGTTCTCGTCCTCGGTCTCGCTCTCTCTTTCGGAACACAGCTGGATCTGGCGTTGAATGTCGGAGTCGGAACAAGTTGTTATGGCATTCCTTGTGGGGATTCTTAATTTCGTTCATTTATGAGTGCATGCGTTGGGTTTCATGATGGGAAGACCAGCAACAGCAACCCTACATCGTATCAGACAGTTGCGGTTCGTCAGCAAGTGCTGACATTGGGGCGTTTTGCCAGTCCGGTTCAAGCCCTCAGTCGGATCATCTTCCGCAAGTCTCAACTACGATGATGATGCGGTCCGCCTTTGCTATCCTTCCTTGCCTTGGGCTTGGCGTCGTATTGGCGAGCTTCTGGACTCAGACTCAGATCCCCAGTTCGAGACGGTCGAGCAGAGAGCTCCGGGCCAGCGATGCTTTGGGCACCGCGAACGCCTCGCAAGCGATCCCGAACTTATTGGAAGGGCTCAGCTGCCCGGGTCGTTGGAGGGAGATCTTGTCGACGAAGCAGCTTCTGGGGATTTTGTTGGGCCTGGCCGCCTACGTGTGCCTGGCAGCATCGCTCTGGTTTGCGAGCTCTTTTTTTATTCCGGCGCATCAGCTCGAGCATAGGTGGGATGTTCGGTGCTTGACTGGGTTAGTTCCACTTGTTGTGGCAGTGGTGGTGGGTGTGCTGACCTCTGGGCCAGCAGCGTCCCGCCTGGGTGTAACTCTACGACTGTCACTCCCACATAGTTGGCAAGAAGTCACGCGGTGTCACCTTCATTGGGTGGCCCGGCCGCGCGAGAGTCTCCCGGCCGGTTGTGGGGCAGGCTTGAGCCAGCATGAGCAGCAGCAGCGGAGACAGTACTATATGTCCATGATCTTCTTTTTGACGTTCCTTGCCTTCACCTTCGGCGTGTTGCTCACAAGACTCGGCCGAGCAACCTCAAGGGGCCTTGAACGCCTCGACGATGGTATGCAGAGCCGCACCTCTTCACGGGTCGTCTACCATGCAGTGGCGGCCGAAGAAGAGGTTGAGCAACGGCCACAACCATTGCCTGTGATGTGCTATGTGATCGCTTTCCACTTTCTGTGCGCCGTGTTCTCGCTGTGGGCAGTGGCGACTGAGCATCTGGACATGCGGTATGGCCTCTGCTGGGAGTTGTGGCTCGCGTGGGCGACGATGATGCTGCTAAGCTCTGCCTTGCAACTAGGGTGTTCTTGGAAATTATTTTTTAAGTTTTAAGGACAATAATCCCCTTGTAACCATATATAACCCATAAGAATTTATTTTTTTTATAGGGCTTCTGAATCCGGCCCAGGCAAGGCGTCTACTTTACTATCTTCCTGCCTGCCGAAGCGGACTCTCGGATTCCCGAATTCGGCCTGGCGATCGTGACGCCCGTCGTGCCAGTTCTAGGCGAGCCCCTGGACACCTTCAAAGATTGGCTTTTCGTTGGCCTGGCGTTGTCGCAGAGGATGTCTGGGAACAGGTAAATCAGAACTTAGGGGCTTAAGGTTTAGAGGTTCAGGTTTCACTGTCCAAGACTTTGCCGTTTAGCCGAAGTGACACGAGTCTGACGAAGGAGATTGTACGAGCGTCAGCAGCTGAACATTGCCCTCCCGGGCTTGAAGTCTGGCTGGTCTTGTCAATTGAATAACGTAGATCACCTCAGAGAGAACTTCAAACTTTTTGGGCCCATATATTGAGTCTTTGCTACAACGGTTGAATCTCTTTGGGCGCAATTCTTGAAGAAGAGAGATAATCCATCAGCCAGCAGCTTCCACTGCAGTGCCGGAGGACCTGGCTAGCGTTTGCAGTGGCTCTGGTGGGCCTTGGCATTCTGTGCCTCTCCGGCAGGTATCTGTGGAGGCATCACTCGGAAGAGTTGGCAGCTGGTCTGCTTCCAGTTCGTGCAGCGTGCTACCGACGCCACGACCACACGCTCCTGGCAAAGCTGTCCTCGCCAGCGAAGCTGGCCGTGGCCATCACGGAGGATCTGCCACAGGCAGCGCTCCAGTCACTCTTTGTGCTCATCTACGGAGGTTCCGCTACGCAGTACTTTTTCATCGTCATCGCGTCGCTGAAGGCCTTGGCCTGCCTGCTGCTGCGAGCGACGATCTTGGAGAACGAGGGCCGGTACAGCGATGCCAACGAGGCACGCATCTTCTTGTACCGCCTGATGTCGGGCATGGGGAGTTCATTGCTGGGCAAGCGCAGTGAAGTTGTTCTGCAGACTCGGCACAATCTTGCAAGGTCCTTGAGTGACCTCGGTCGCCATGCCGAAGCTTTAGACATGCTACGAGAGGTGCTGGCTGATCAGCAGCAGGTGCTAGAAGCCACTCATCCCGACACACTGCTTACCCAAAGCTATCTTGCGCTGGTTCTGAGCCGCTTCGGTCGTCATGCTGAAGCTCTGGATGTGCAGCGGGAGGTGTTGTCCGCTCGTCAGGAGGTGCTGGGGGATGCTCACCCGGACACCCTGCTGATACATAGCATGCTGGCGACTTTCTTAAGCCGCCTCGGCCGCCATGCCGAAGCCTTCGATGTACCTGGGCTTTGGAGTACCATACTTTAAGACTTTTTTTTGGGAACCATTATAAAATAAAAGTCTATAATTTTTCCCCCTTACTTTAAGACTTTTTTTGGGACCTGTTCCTTAAAGGAACCATTATAAAATAAAAGTCTATACTTTTTTCCCCCTGGTTACTTCAAAGCCCAGGTACAGAGGGAGGTTTTATCGGCGCAGCAGGTGGTTCTGGGAGATGATCACCTCGATACTTTACGGACACAGAAGAATCTCGCCAGCTCCCTCTGCCGTCTTCATCGCCATGCAGAGGCTGTAGATGTCTACCGAAAGGTTGCTGCTGCTTATCAGCAGGTGCCTGGGTGTTGGAAATTGTTTTTAAGTTTGAAGGACTATAATCCCTATATAATCCCTATATAACCCATAAGAATTTAGTTTTTATAGGGCTTCTGAATCCGGCCTAGAGGTGCTGGGCGATGCTCATCCAAAAACCCTCCTGACTCAGAGCAACCTGGCGGCTTCCCTCAGCCATCTCGGTTGCCATAAGGCCGCTTTAGACATGCACCAGGAGGTCCTGGCTGCTCTGACGCAAGCCCTTGGAGTGACGCACCCCGACACTCTCCGCAGTCCGGGACTCAATGCTTTGCGTGTTTCATTCAGTGTTTAGGGTTCGGGGTTTTAGGCTTCAATGTTCAGGGCGTAGCATCAGCGGAACATACGACCACATGTCAACCCTACATCCGACCGCGCGTACATGTTGTCCATCCCCCAGAGCAGCCATACTCTGAGTTTAGGGTTCAGGGTTTGGGTTTAGGGTTTCAAGGTACTGATGACTTAGCAAACGCCCGTCGTAACGCCCGCTTGCAAGTGCAGTGTATAGTTCGGTTAGACTTCTAACCCGAAACCCTAAACCCAAAGCCCTAGACTGTTTCTAAGCACGCGGAACCCTAAACCCAAGTTTCCCAAGCCTGAAGCCTAGAAACATAAACCGGCACAAAGCGTACCCCTTGTTTATCCCCCTACACCCGAAACCCTACGCCCTAAGCAGCAAAAGCCTATAGTAGGCCCTAAACCCTGAACCCTCGTGACGCCCTAAACCCTGAACCTTAAGCTTAAACCTTAAACTCTGAATTGAAGCCTTAATAAAAGGATGAAAAGCAAAGTATCTGCACTTATAATTGCTTGCAGCCCCAATGGGGGGACATGTAACCTTGCTTTCTACGTCACCTAACCCCAACAACCCTTCCGAACCCGTAAACAAACCCAATGGACCTCTTACGGAAGACAGAGAAGCCTCGTGAAATCCATATTACATACTTACTTACGAAGTCCCCTGATTCTTCAACACTAAACCCTAAACCCTCAAACCCTAAACCCTAAACCCTAAACCCTTTAACCCTGAACCCCAAATTCTAAAACCTAAACCCTGAACCCTTGAATCTTACAGTAAACCCAAGCCCTGAATCCTTAAACCCTAAACCCTGAACCTTAAACCCTAAACCCCAAAGCCTGTGACGAAGACCATATCATATCCGTGATTATGAAGTCCCCCAATCCTGCAACAGCAAACCTCAAACCCAAACCCTAAACCCAAACCCTATACCCTGACCTTAAGCCCCTACACCCTAAACCACTAAGCCCCAAACCCGAAGCCCAAAAACCGGTGAGGTCAGGGCAGAACCTGAAAGGAATTGATATCGAAACCCTTCTAAATCTTTTGAAAGGAAGCCCGAAAGCCTGTAATATAGGGCCTAAATAAATACCTAAACTATTTTCTGGTTTTCCTTATTATACTTATAGTATAATATACCCGAAAACCCTATGCTAATTATTACGGCTTCTACATTAAGGCAGGGGACCGTAGTATAGTACCCTAAACAGTAGGATCCTTATAATAAGGACCCTAAAATGAGGTACCCCATATTTTCGCTATTTCGGAACTTCCCAAATCTCTTAAAAGGAAGCCGAAAAAAGCCCTGTAAGGCCAGGGTCGGCTGGCGCAGTCCCTTGCTGACCTTCGTCGCCACGAGGAAGCCCTCGAGATGCTGCTGGGCCTTGCAGAGGAGGTTAGCTTAACGGCTTTGGGCTTCAGAGGGTTTAGGAGGCTTTCAAAGGGTTTAGGAGGCTTTCAAAGGGTTTAGGCTTAACGGTGTAGGGATTTAGGGTTTAGGGGTTAGGATTTGGGGGTTCGGGTTCAGGATTTAGGGGTTTAGAGTCTAGACCCCCCGCTGCGCATAGCAAGTGCGTCTGGAAAACGAGCAGCATTCACGCTTTTGTGCTTGCAAGGGTTTATATGACTCTTGTCAAGGACATACCTTGGGGAAGAAAGTACTTGCTGGGGTAACGGGTGTTTGTGGATCTCATAAGGTCTTTCCAAGAGCTTTGTTATAACTTGTTTATAGGTCTCTTGATGCGGAACTTAGTAGATTAACCGGTTAACCGTCTCAGAAAGGTTCTATAAGGTGTTGAGGTGAATTGTTAAAATAATCATGGTAAGTTATCCTGTATTCCTTAACCAGAATGCCAGAACCCGGTGCAACCGTGAGGCAACAGTCTTTGAATCTCAAAGTAAGTCCGGCAAACTGGAGGTCGGAATAATTCGTAACACTGCCCCCTTACGGTTCCTGGGTTTAGGGTTTAGGGTTTAGGGTTTAGGGTTTAGGGTTGTAATATGCCCCCATACCCTGTTCAACTTGTTTTACGCCCGCATATTGACAAGAATCCAGGCTCTGGGACGTACTTGCCGCTCAACAGCGGACGCTTGGAGCCGCGCATTCCGATTCTCTGCGGACCCAAAGCAGCATCGCAACTTCTCTAAGTGCCCTCGGCCGCCACACCGAAGCGTTGAAGATCCACAAAGAAGCTTGGTTCTTCTTAAGAAGCTGAGTTTTAAGTTGCCATCGTTAGGAAAGCACATTATCTCCGTTAGATCCCTATCCCTGTTATGGTAACTTAAGTTGCAGAAGTATCTTTACCAGAGCCCAGGAAGTGCTGGCTGCCCGACAGCAGACGCTGGGAACTGCTCACCCGGACACGCAAATGACCCAGAACCTTTGCTCTCAAATACTAGGTTCCCCAGTAGTACCCTTTTGCCCTTTTTCTCTTTGGGTTCCCTTATGAAAACCAAACAGTAGGAAAAAGGTTACCCTTATTCTTAAGGGGCTACAGGGGAATCTAGAATACGCAACCTTTGAACGGTTTCGGCTTGAACTTCTGCGGTTTCTGCAATTAGGCATTTTGTCTAGAGTTTTGGGGCTTCGTACAACCTACTTGTAGCATCATTCTGAGAGATTCCCTGGGTTGTTGGGGAAGCGAGGAGCAGCTTGGTGCAGTGTCTGAGAGACCTGGGTCGCCACAGCGACGCAGTAGAAGTGGAGAGGCATAGGCAGACTCTCGTTGCCACTCAGCTCAGATTTTATAGCAAACATGACGGGGTTTGACGTACGAAGCTGATGGGTTTCGAGTAGAATCTCATGGCTGACATGGCAGGGCTTGACGTTCAAAGTTGAAGGGTTCGAGCAGTCGCACGAGACTGGAGGTGACACAAACTTCGACCTGTTCTCCGGTTCCATCTTTCACGGTTTCGGGATCAATCAGAAAACCCGAGGCACCCTTCCTGAACATCAACACCTACCCGGCACCCGAATGCCATCCCATACCGGAAGCTCTACGCAGCACTGCGCCCTTAACATCTCTGTATGGACCCCAAACCCTAAACCCGCCCTGAACCCCCAAACCCTAAACCCTAAACCCTAAGCCCTAAACCCTGCACATTAGAAAAAAACCCTAAACCCTAAACTCCAAACCCTAAACCCTAAACCCAAGCCGGGGTTCCAAGACTGCAGCTCCTTGTTTTGAAGCTTAGGTTGACGGTTCGAGGTTTGACTGTGCCATCCGGCTGAAGTCTTCAGTGTTTAAGCTTGGGCAGGCGTTCCGACTGGCAGCTCCTCCAAGTAGATATTCCGACCCCAATCAGAGTGTAGGCTAGAACCCTAACGCTTTACACCCTCGGTCGAAATCTGTTTGAAGAGTCTAAATGGGCGCCCAGCCAGGGAAAGTCTGGCTTTACATGTCGGATGATGCCATGAAGCAGCGCATGACTGTGTGGAATGATTCCCTGAACCCTCATCCCTAAACCCTAAACCCTAAACCCTAAACCCTAACCCTAAACTGTACCCAAAACCCAAACCCTGAGCTTGGAAGCCTAACCTTGAACTCTCAATGCACGTACAAAACCACACTGGGCTTTGGAGTACTATACTTTAACACTTTTTTTAGGACCTGTTCCTTAAAGGAACCAGGACGAAATAAAAGTCTATACTTTTTTCTCCCAGGTTGCTTCAAAACCCAGTACACTGAAATACAAGCTCGAAGCCATGAGCCCTGGAATCCGGTCCCCGAAGTACCTAGAGGTTCCTTATCATATAGTTATACTATCACAGTAACATACCCCAGAATCCATTTCTAACTATTAAGCCCCCTACATTGAAGCTAAAGCCAGCGTTCATGCTATGCCACTCAGCTACTCCATCCTCTGCATGCCTGTCCGTGACATCAAAGCGTTCGCTTGGGGACTTCCCCGCAGTTTTGCTTCCCCCGTCCCATCCCCTTCCAAGCCTCGAAGATGTGCTTGTTTTAAAGTGTTTGTAAGGTTCCATTGTGGGGTTTTAGAGGGTTTGCATGGGTTTCTGACCCTAAAACATAAACCCTGAACCCTAAACATTTCTTGAAAAGCGATTTCTTGTAGACCTCCCCAACAGCCAGGAAGCTCCCGACCCAAGCCTCAACTTCACTGACTCATAGCCGCCTGGTGCACTAGACTTTGGGTTTAGGGTTTCAGGTCTAGGGTGTGGGGTTTAGGGTTTCTTTTAACCCAACCGCTGGCCGTGCCTGTCGCCCTCCCTTTGAAGCCCCATTTTAGGGTGTTCCTCTGGAAGCTATGAAACGCCATGGCTACAATCCGGAGAACACCTCCAACGACCTGGAGCCGCTTGGCAGATTTTAGGGTTTAGGGGTTTTTGGGGTTTAGTACTTCGAGTTTTGGGGTTTAGCGTTTCGGGTTGAGGGTTTGGGATTTAGGGCTTTGGGGTTTAGGATTTCTGGTTTTGGGTTTGAGCAAGCGTGTATCAACCGCGCTCTTCCCGAAAAGCAGGTTTATACCAGGGTTTCCGGGCCGGATTCAGAAGCCCTATAAAAGTTAAATTCTTATGGGTTATATATGGTTATATAGGGATTATAGTCCTTGAAACTTAAACTAAGAATAATTTCCAAGAACACCCCAGTTTAGAAGAGTGTACCTAAAGCTCCTTGGGATTGAAGATGAGTGCAACCGTCGGCTCTCTTGTGGGGGTACTAGCAACAAGGGCAGAAAGAAGGGCTCTGGAAGTTTGGTCCGCGCAAAAGCTGCTGGACTTCGGGTTTAGGGTTTAGGGTTTAGGGTTTAGGGCTGCAGGACAGTTCGGAGTCGAACACGGTATCAGTGGAACCAACTATCAGTAATTGCGTTGGATGTACATTTATCATACCGACCTAGCCCTAAACCCTAGAGCGAACAAACTGTACTGACAGCCGACCCGTGTCATCACTGTCCCAGCCGCGTGGATGACTGATCGAAAGATCTCGATGGTTTCGAAGTGTTGTAGAGGTTGTCCATCTCGTCCGGGGAATAGCGG